TTACTTAAAGGTCTGCTAGAACTCTGCAATAAATCCACCTACGCCTGGGCTGGTTTGGGTTTGGAGGATTTTTATTGCAGACTCAACCTTGTTATTCATGATGGATTTATTTAAATATTTATGTCTTCCTGGATTACTTCGGCATGTCAGAAGTATTGAGAGACTCCTCCATTTCTTTAGACTTTCCAGTTTTGTAGAATGAAGGTTTTGGAATTGTGTTCTTCCCTTCCTCTGGATTTTAATGGTGTCTATTATAATATCTCCTTTTTAACCTCTAATTTTATTGATTTGGGTCTTCTTTTTGTTAATCCGGCTAAGATTTTATCAAACTTGTTTATCTTTTCAAAAAACCATATCCTCCTCTGATTTTTTTATTCTTATTTTATTAATTTCTGCATTAATCTTGATTATTTCTCCCTGTTTACTGTTTTGTTTACTTGTTGTTCCAAGACCTTACAGCACATCACTAAGTTGTTTATTCATTTTTGATGTAAGTACTTATAACAATAAGGTATCCTCTTAGGATACTTTCCTGTACCCTGTAGATTTAACTATGTTACATTTTTATTTTTATTTTATTCTAATTAAGTTTTAACTTTCACTTTTTAATTTTTGAATAATTTAATCAGTGTTGTTAAGTCTTCATGACTATATATTTTCTGTGATTTTTATTACTATTATACCTACTTTTACTTTATTGAGGTTAAATAAAATAAAAAGAATTATTTGTTCCCTATATTTATTGAGAAATCATTTTTATTTTATGTTCCACTATATTCTTTGTTTTGTTGACGGTTCCATGAACTACTGAGATAAACATGTATTCTCTAGTGTTTGGATGGAATGTTTTGTTAGAGTCATTTGATCTACAGTATCACTTACCTCTACTATTTTATGCACCTCCCCACCCCAGATGATCTGTCCTTTGATGAGTATTTATGTTACCTAATATTAATGTGTTAGGGTTAATCTGTCCATTGCATGTAGAGGGATTTGCTATAAAGTATGGTGCATGGACGTTTATAATGTCTTCTTCTTGGAATGTTCCTTTGATAAGTATGAAGTAACCTTCTGTATCTCTTTTAGTTAGTTTAACTTCCAAGTCTATTTTGTCAGATATTAGAACAGCAACTACTTCTTGCTTCATGGTTCCATCTTCTTAGAGAACTTTTGTCCATCCTTTCCTTCTATGATGGTTTCTGTCTTTAGTGATGAGCTCTTATTTGCTGCTGTTGTTTGTTTTCTTTTTATTGAAAGTAGATTCTTTTCTGACACAATATATCCTGACTATAATTTCTTCTTCCTCTACTTCAACCAGTTCCTTCCCCTTTCCCCTCCCTTCCTGGTCCATTCCATTTCTGTCTCTCATTAAAGAAAAAAGGAAGGCTTCTGGGAATAAAAGCTATCATATTGAAGTTGAACATGTCAGCCCAGCAGGAGGAAAAGAATCCCAAGAGCAGTCACAGGAGTTAGAGACCCACTTGTTCCCACAGCCAAGAGTTCATAAAAATACCACACAAAATACTATAATGCATATACAGACGAGCTGGTACAGACCCATGTAAGCCCTGTGCTTGCTGCTCAGTCTCCTTGAGTTCATATGTTCCTGGCTTAGTTGATTCAGAGGGATTTGTTCTCCTAGTGTCCTCCATCCCCTCTGGCTCCTCTACTCTTTACTCGATGGCGAACTCTCATTCAGATTCTCTCTCTGCATAGTGTTTGGTTGTGGCTCTTAGTAGCTGTTCCCATCTGCTGCCTGAGGAAAATTCTCTGATGATGACTGAATATAAGGCAGTGATATAAAAGTATCACAAAATATAATTGAATCATTTTCTTGATACTTTTTTTTTTTTTTTTTGGACCGTTTGGTTTTACCCTAAGTCTCTGGGCAATCTAGTCTCTAGTTCTTAGTTGCCCAAGCAGTGCTGGATATGGGTTTCTTCTCATAGAGTGGACTTTAAGTCAAACCAGACATTGTTTAGCTATTTCCACAAGTTCTGTGCCTCCATTGCCCTGGGGTATTTAGTAAGCAGGACAGACTGTAGGTCAAAAGTCTTCTGGCTGGGTTAGTTTTTACACTCCTACTTTGATAGCTGCAACATGCCTTCCCACACCAAAGCCACCAGTACATGTGAGAAAAGGCCCCATGGAAAAGGCACCAACTCCACTTCTCCGTGTTCAGTGAGTTGTATAGGTGTTGTCTTTGTCAATGGAGCTCCACTGTCAGTTTGTGGAGAGCAATTGTCTTCTCTTATCTTTTCAACAGCCTGGATTGTTTGGGGTTTCTATTGACTGCAACCCAGTCCAGCTGCTGGAAGCCTCACTTGGTGAAAAAAAAATGGCCAGTTAAGACTTAGTGTCCTCCATTATTAGGAGACCTTATTAGGTCTCCAATTATGATCATGTTCATATATTTAAGAAGTTCCCACTGCGCTAAGCTTCCATACTGTCCTTCAAACTCCCCTCAATTCCAGCTGGCTTACCCTACTTTCTCTCCCTCTACTCTATTTCTCCTCCCTACCCAATCCTCCCATTCCTATCCCCATCTCTCCAAGCCCACCCCTAAAATCTATTTTAGTTTCTCCTTCCAGAGAGATCTATTATTCCTTTTAAACCACTCCTCTATACCTTATCTCTCTGGGTCTATAGATTATAGCTTGATCATCATTTGCTTAATGCTTAATATCCCATTTAAATGGATACATGCTATACTTGTCTTTCTGAATCTGGGTTACTTAACTCAGTATGAATTTTTTTCTAGTTATATCCATTTGCCTGCAAATTTCAAGATGTCATTCTTTTAAACAGCTGAGTAATACTCCATTGTGTAAATATACCAGATTCTCTGTATCCATTCTCTGATTGAAGGGCATCTAGGTTGTATCCAGTTCCAGAGTATTGTGACTAAAACCACAATGAACATAGTTGAGCAATAAATGTCCTCATGATAGGATGGAGTATCCTTTGGGTATACCCCCAAGAGTGGTATAGCTGGATCTTATGGTAGATCAATTCACCCCCCCCCTTTTTTTTTTTTGAGGAACTACCATATTGATTTCCATAGTGTCTATACAATGGATGGATGTTCCCCTTTTTCAACATCCTCACCATCATGAACCTTCACTTGTATTATTAATCTTAGCTATTCTGACAGGTGCAAGATGGAATCTCAAACTAGTTTTGATTTGCATTTTCCTGGTGGCTTAGGATGTTGAACATTTCTGTAAGTGTTTCTCATCCATTTGCATATTTCCTATATTGGGTACTCTCTATTTAGATCTGTACCCCTGTTTTGAATTGGATTATTTGTTTCTTTATGTCTAGTTTCATGAATTCTTTCTGATAACCTGTGTCATTTGAAAGGAACTAATAGTTATCATTAAAAGTTGGGCATTGATTTCTGTTAGTTTGTTGATTTTATTGCTATATTCTTTAGATTTATTTATCACTTACCTAATGTTATCTTTACATTATTATCTCTTATACATGCTTATCATTGTTTCAATAATTCAGTTTCCTCAGAAGTACAGGATTAGTTGCTACACATTCTTCTAACCTGTCTTTACCATAGAATGTTTTTCTTAGTCTTTTGTTTATGATAGATATTATGGCCATAGTTTGTGTTGGAATCTTTAAAAACTTGGAGAATAATGATCCAAGTCCCTTCAGTGTCTTAAAATCTCCAATGAAAACTATGTTGAGCCTGCCTCATTTTTCTATGACTTGGCCTTTCTTGCAGCTTTCAAGACCTTTTCTTTGTTCTGTACATTCATTGTTTAGATTATTTTGACATGGGGAGTTTCTTTTCTAGACCTGTCTATTTGACATTCTGTGTGATTCCTGCAACATAAGCATCTCTTTCCTTAGACTGGGACATTTGCTCCTATGATTTTTGTTGAAAATAGTCTCTGGACATCTGACCAGGGTTTTGTGACCCTTTTTATACCTGTGATTCATTTAGTGTCCCATAGTTAATGCATGTTCTGTTCCTCTGATGTTTTTAGATTCACCTTTTTTTTTTTTTTTTTTGATTGAGTAATCAAATTCCTATACCTTGTCTTTAAGCCCCAATATTCCCTCTTCCATTTGACCCATTCTATTGGTGAGGCTTTCTTCTGAGTTTTTTTTTTTTTTTTTTAAATCTGGCTTACTGAAAAGCTTTTATTCATAACCTTTATCCCTTTATTAAAATGTATTTTATATGTGCAATTGTTTTCCCTATTTTATTCAGTTATTTTTATTCTCATGGTCTTCATTCTGACCTTTATTCATATCCTCTTTATATTTCTGAACATATTCATAACTGCTCTTTTGAAATAATTGTATTCGGTATCATGTCAGTTTTTCTCAAGGAATATTAATATTAGAGTACTAGTTTTTGGAGGGACTATGCTTTCTTGGCTATTTGGTTTTTGTGATTTTGTTATGGGACCTAGGTCCCTGAAGTTAGATCATTGGTAATGTACTTTGTTACGGATATCTGTTCCAACTTTTGTAGAGTGGGCATTTGAATCTCAGTTTGCTGTTATTTAAATTTGTCTGCTTTTAGACCAACTGGTTGATACTCCGCTTTCAGCCTTTGGTCCATGCAGTGTTGAAATGCATCTAGAGTATCAGATGTGATCCTAGGCTGGCTAGGTAGGGGCAGTGTATGAACACAGGAGCTAACCTTACATGGAATGGCCAGGTTCTCACTGAAGATTCCCAGAAATCTGTGAAGGCTCACAGGGTTCTATTAGTGGTTCTCAAGTAGCAGGGGCTATGTGTGTGTGTGTGTGTGTGTGTGTGTGTGTGTGTGTGTGTGTGTGTGTACGTGCGCGGGTGTTTCCTGGAGGAACTGTATAGGACTCTATGACTGGCCCTCCTGTGCTGCATTAATGACAGGGTGGAGAGTCACTACCTGGGAGAGGTACACAGAACTTTGTGTGGGCTTTTACAGCCAGGGCTGCAGGCCCAGGAGAATACTGCAACTTTTGATATATTCCCTTCTTTTCTTACAGAAAGCTGGTTGTGATGGCTTATTGGGGTCTCTGGCCAGGGAAGATCATTGTGGCATATGCAATGGCAATGGAAAATCATGCAAAGTCATTAAAGGCGACTTTAATCACACAAGAGGGGCAGGTAATTGTTCTTTATTTTTCATACTTAACAAACTGTAGTATGGACAAAAATTAGATTAAATTGGATTTAGAGATTGCAGTTCTCATTTGTTGATTGAAGACATTTTCAGTGATATTTATGATGACATACAATATGTGTGATATGAGCCAGGAACTTGAACACACTTATTTCTCAATAATGAAAACATGAAGTCATGTGTTGTGCATTCTAGAAGTTAAAGCAGGAAGAGCGTAATCTAATTTGCATCAGCTTATGTTACCAGGCTCCTAAAATGCTTATTAGCCAATGCAAGCATGTCTAACAAAAATAGTGATTTGCAATAGCTTGAAGCAAACATTGAGAATATTAGTTTTCAGAGTTTAAGCCTTCCATTACCTTTTTAATAATGATTTTACTAAATTTTAAGAGGAAAACTTTTTGAAAGCTGAAATCTGAACCAATAGTATAGCATGGTGGAAATCAGAACAGGAGTGGACAAATGTGGGGCATATTACAAATACATTATAGAAAGAACCCCCTACTGTCTTCTTTTCTCTTCTGCAAATGCACACTCAGGAGATCTGAGGATGAGAAATGAGTATCAAAGATCTTTGCTGTGTGAGCCTAAAGTTCCTCACCACAGAAAATGATAGTGCCTCCACTGAATTGTCATGACCCACAAGTACTTTATACATACACATGTGAACACACAAATGCATATATATAAACACACACACACACACACACACACACATATATATATACACACATATATATATGCATACGTACACATATATTACTGTATATCAAGTTCTCAAGTTTACTGGGAAAAAGCAATATTTTCTGTACTTCTTCAACTACTTTCCTGGACATATTATCTGGTGGACCATGATGTATGACTATTTAGATGTCTTTTATTATTTATTTAGGTGTATGTATAAACGTGTGTGTGTTTCTGAGTGTGCTGTGTGTGTGTGTGTGTGTGTGTGTGTGTGTGTTGGGGGGTGTTGACACAGGCTAGAAGAGCGTGTTTGAATGCCTGCAGCTGGAGTTACAGGTAATTGTGAGCTGTCTGAACAGGGTGCTTGGATCCAAACTTGGGTCTTATGAAAGAGGAAGCAAGGAGCTCTCATGTTCTCAATCATCTCTCCAGCCTCTGTTTGTGACTGTTTTCACCACCATCATTGATGTGCTTGCATTAACATTTCATTTAAGTTCTCTAGTTTCAAAAAGCTCTGATGATAAATTAAGAATTAGTGATAGTGTGAGGAACAATCAGTTCATGTTGGACAATCAAGGAAAACTGAAGTCATTTCAAGTAAGGGGGTCGTTTTGGAAGGAAAGTCAGATGAAACTTTGTGTGCTTAAACACACGTGTTCCTTTTGCTCTGCTCTAACAGAGTAAGATAAGCAGCTGAATCTTCCAGCACTCATTTAGAAGAGACAAGGTGCACACAGTTGAAATACAGCCTCAACTTGTCAGTTACAGAATTGTTAATGAAATAACCCGCCAGCCGTTCCCACAGTTATAACAAGGGACATCTTAAAGAATTTCGATTATGATCTCAAAGAGCAAGGATATATCATAGCACCATGTTTCTAAAGAACATTTACACAGTTGGTATACATGTGACCCATGCCCTGAAAGATGCCGATGCACACCGAGCGTCCAGCTCTGTATTTGGTGATAATAATGCTTCATTTTCCCACAGAAACACCACTGAAATCTCTGTGACACTTTTCATTCTGACTGCTGGGATGTAGACAGATTTTTTTCCTGTTAATTGCTCTCAAAGCCTTTTATTTAAATGCCATATTACAATCTGTCATATAAACTACTGGTACCTAAACTATTAGGAATATCCCTGCATGATGTTGTCCTTGTCTGTTCCCCAGGATCACCTGCCAAATAGCTCCTTTCCTTTCCTGAATTAAGGTAATAAGTTTCTAATGGTTGCAAAGCTATTTCCCACAGCAACATAGTTCTGTCAATGTGGATCTAGCTACCTCCTCTTAGTTTTGCTAGATGAACAGTGGTTGAATGTTAGGATCACTGAAAAAGCCATGTGTTCTATCCTTATGACTCCTTCGGTGATTCTTGCTGTGGTTCATTGTGTGGTGAGCCTTGTTGAGATGTTTGTTATTCTTTATCAGTTCTGAACAGTTGGGAATTATACATTCATTTGGATTCCTTTTTTCCATTACATTTCAAATTCAATGAGGAAAAATACGGTGGCCTTTTCTGTCTATCACTCCATTCTCAGTTAGTATCATCCTGAAAACTCGATTGCTGTTTGTTTACTTAATACTGAAGCATTAAGAAATGTTGAAGCATTTATATTACTTAGGAATTCATGTTTTTAAAAAAGTTTTGTGAGTTCTTAGTTCTATGACACACTCCATCTAGTTATGATTTTAGGAATGCTGTCTTCATTTCTCTTAAGACTCCTTTATCACCACAGTTAATGAACTTCCCAGAATTTCTTAAGGGATTCTCAGGCTTTTTACGCAGATGGCCATGCACACTCTAGATTCTGTGTGAGTAGCACATGTACAGATGCATGTGGGTTTGCTCAGTCCCCGTGGTCTGTGTGGTGTTTGTTAAATCATTTCTGTTGGAGCTAAAAAATAAACATGGGAGGTATTACTTTTCCCTTAGTATATTTCTTGCATCGTTCATTGAGACTTGTCTAGCCAAGCACTAGCTTCTTAAAGGACTAAATGATAGCTGGTATGTTTGGCTTGTTGAGACGTGATATGTACCTGGTAAACAATAAGAAGAACATGGATGTTAAATCGTGACTCTGTGTGTAAGAAAACGAATATACTGGTTTAAGTTACAAAAGTGTGCTCTTCGAATTTTTAATTGTTTGATTGATTCCTACAGGAGCTGGCGAGTCATGGTCTCATGTAATTTATTTTATAGAATGGCAACTGTGCATCATAGCAGAAAATGGAGAGTGAGATAAGGCATTGTGACAGTGCAATGCAGGTTGGGTAGCCATTCTTGAAAATTATCGATAAAATGTTCTAAATTTTAGAGTTGTTTAATGTAGTGAATATTTGTATATAAATTGCCAGTTGACTATCAATAATCTCAAACTCTAAAATCTCTGGTGCTTGCTGGCCAGCCAGTCTCACTGGATGAGTGAGCTCCAGATTTAATAAATGTCTCCATCTCAAAATTATAAGGTAAAGAGTGACTGAGGAAGACACATAAAGTCAACCTCTGACCTATGTATGTAGGTGCATATGTGTACACAGACACACACACACACACAGAGCACATGCCTTTATTTTATCCTTGCCACAAGATAGACTATACATTACTTTTTTACTTATGCTGAGCAACTAATCTTTTTTAAGAATTACAATAGTTAATAGACAGGAGAAAACATTGAAATCATCTCTTTGCCTTTTTAAAGCCTCAAGTCAGATATCAGTTAGATACATGAATTTGCACAGAATGTTTAAAAAGTCATGTTAATTTTAGAAGAACAATTAAGCTAAAACTAGGCAACTAGGCTTCTTTATCACTGATCTTCACTAAGTGGAACCTCTATTCCTTCTTTTCCTGCATATTCTCTCATTTTATTCCATTCCTTTAAGTATCATATACATGACCATAGCTGGAAAATTTTTTCTGAGGACATTCGATTGTGACCACCCCCCCCCCTGCTTTTTTTTTTTTTTTTTTTTTTTAATCTTTGTGACACCTGCGGAGGTGACAGCAGACCTCTTGCTGTGGCCCTACACCTGACTTACTTCTCTCCAGCTTCACTGTCTAATCCTTCTGTTCATCTCCCAGGGAACCTTGTTCTCTCTTCCTGAGTTGAGGCGCCCCAGGGACAGTTCCAGACCAACTGTGTTGTCCCTGGTGCTTTTCTTCTCTGCTTTTTCTAGCTTGAAGAATTGCCAGAGCATAATTTCCCGGGGTGATTTTAGTTTGTCCTATTGAGTCTGTCTGTGGGTAGGGGAGCTGTGCCGTTGGGCTTCATGTACTGCAGGGTGCTCCATGCAGTACAATCACCTTCTCAGTAGACATCTATGCTCAGTCTTTCCAAGAAACTTCACCTGAAATCATGGCGGCTGTATAATGATGCATTTTCCCTCCACAGCCTTTGAAACATGGTAGCTGTAACTAAAACCAAAGGCGTGGTGGGGTGGGGGGAACGAGTCAATTCGAAGAGTTTTATAAGAGCCCCAGATTCATGGCATGTCTTACTCTTACAGGTTATGTGGAAGTGTTGGTGATACCCGCTGGGGCAAGAAGAATCAAAGTCGTGGAGGGGAAGCCGGCACATAGCTACTTAGGTAACAGGTGCCACAGTCTCACAGGAGCTTAGTAGGAGCCCAGCTCACAGCTCTGGGATAAAGCTCTGTTTCTAGGTTCACTCTTGAACTTTTCAGAAAGTGTCTCTTCTAATATTAAGCAAGAGTTTCCCTTTCTCCAAGGAAGTCCAGGGACAAAAGCAATTTTGTTTTCTGTTGAAAGAGCATAAAATATTTCCAAATGGTAGTTCATGATAAAAGTCTAAAACACTCATTTAATGACTTTGTCATACTTTACTCCAAATAATGCAACCCATTAGCACACTTATTCCATGTGTATACATGTGTGTGTGCAAAAACATATTATTTCATGTGTGACTACACAGGTATTTGTTGTATGTAATAATTATTTTAGAAATAAGATATCTTGTTGCTCAAAAGAAGCCATGCACAGTTAAGAGGATTTGACTTGTGTTGAGATTCTCTGTCTTGCTTCACTCCAGGAAAACTCACCTATGGAAAGAAATATCTTTAAAAATTTAAGCATTGCTTTCAGGAAACACTAGATTGGATACTTTGATATAACTTTATTACATATTTTGTTATTGATTATTCACAAATTTCACATCATACATCACAGTCACACCCACCTCCCAGTCTTCCCAGGTCTACCCGTCCCCAACACACACACCTTATAACCTCACACATTCACACAAAAAAAGAGAGCTAGAAAGAAAGTCCCATGTGTGTTTTTCATATTTTAATTAGGTCAATCCGTCACTTTTTACTATAACAGAGAAAGTATCACAGATAGTGAAATTAAGTAGGATGAAGTCAGACGGGGGACCAAACAAAATTTGAACACTGAGCTTTAAATTATCATTTAAAAGTATCTTGGAACCTTTTCTTAAGAAAAGTGATGCCCTTATTATTCTTAACTTCGCAATAAATGTCACAAGAGGAAAACCCTTTGCACATAATGAACAAGCCTTCTTACATGATGTTTCTACTCTTCAGTATAAACACTTGTCTAGGCTTGTCTTTGAATTATTTTTCCAATTAGGATTTGCTTCCATAGGGGAGAACTTGTGAGGAAAAAAGACAGTAAAGAAACCCTTGATTATGTGCAATTCCCATTAGTTTGTTATTACATGTGTAAATTTTATCTGATTTACTTATTTTGGTTTTTAGTGTATTTAAGTACAAGAAGATCATCCTAAATCCAAATACCCAGTTTTGGAAGATAGAGGTGTTAGATGATTGAGACACATTCATTTAATAGATATCCACCTATCACACTTAATGTACTTTTTCTTTATTCCCAAGCTTCAACAATACATAGATGTCTCGGGTTTTTTTTTTTTTTTTTTCAATTCTATAGAATTTGAGCTGGTATGAGATTTAATAACTGGGCAAATGCAGCTAAATAAGACAGTTTTGCAAAGGAGACACCTTCATGCTACCTCTTCCATGTCCTCCAACTTTTTTTCTTTATTTTTCTGTCCACCTGCATAGATGCTATAGCTAACATATTCTTCAAGGTCATCAGAGGACTTTTTTTTAAACTCCATGGTCACATTATTTGGCATGTAAACAGTAGTTTGTTTCATCTTAGTTCCTTAAACCCTCTTCTTTTGGTGTCTAGTCCACAGCTCCTTTTTCTCGTTGGGTGCCCCCATTTACTGGTACCCTTAGCTGGACCCTGAACACAGTCTCCAAACATTCCCATATGTTGGGGCTTTGGACTAAAACCTTCTCTCTTGTTGGCTTTACTCTGTCCCCAGAGAATCTCTTTTGTAACTGGTCTTTCTTTGGGCCACTGGATTCCCAAACAATGAGACTTCTTGCTACATTTGAAAACTTAACCTTAGCTTGGGCTCGTTCTCCACTAACTTTTAAAACTTAAATTAACCTGTTTATATTAATCTATGTTTAATCTCCCCATCTTTGATTCCTTCCCAGAGTTCTTATCTCTGTTCAGAATCCTGCCTATTCTCTCCCGCCTAGCTATTGGCTATTCACCTGTTTAGTAAACCAATTAGAAGGTGCCTTGGCAGAGACACATCTTCCCAGTGTACAAAAAAAGTTTATCCCAAACACTCTTCTAGAACTGTTATATGTGTATTTGTTGGAAGTCATCAAAAATCTTTTTCAGTGACATAATTGATTTCTGCCCCTACCTGAATATTTTCTTTGCTTATTTTCTACACCATGACAAATATACTTCCCTATGGCTTTGTAACAGTTGACACAAACTTTAGTGCATAAAACAGCAGAAATAAATCTATCCTTCAGAGTTCTGGCATCCAGAAATCCAAAATCTATTTCAGTGGGCTAAATTAACATGTTACCATCATCTTTGGAAAAGCGTGGAAGGGTACCACTCAGTCCCCCTAGCTTCAAGTGCCAGCATTGCTTTGTTTGTGATGGCATCACACCACCAGCTGCTTCCATGGTCTGTTGCCTTTCCTTCAGTGTTTATATCTGCCTGAGTGGCCTCTTAGAATAACAGGCATGATAGGTTTTAGGACCTCCATCAGGCTGCAGGCCAATGTAATGTACCATACTAGGAAGTTCCCTTCATCTTCTCAGGCTACAAAGACAAAATACAAGAGACTAGAAAGTCTAAAATTTTTCAGTTTTGGGAGCTGGGCAAGCTATTGGTAGCTACATATACGCAATTTTTTGTTATTGCTACTGTTGTTATTAAAAGAACATCCAGTCCAAACTTGAATCTTATATCTGTCTTAAGTTCCTACTTTTAATTATTGTCAGTTCTCAAGATGGCATGTATTAATTTAAATAGCACAAATGCTACCCCAGAGATTCAGTAAGTTTTGCTGTACATGTTGTCATGTAACCAAGTGACTAATGTCCCCTTCTTTACTAAAGTAATGAAGAGTAAGTACAGGATGTAAGCAAGATGGCCAGCAGAATCAACCCATCAGTAGAGGACGAATGGGGAAAAGCAAGGGCTTCCAGAGACACTGAAGTAGTTGAACTGAAAGATTGAAATGTGGAGTGCTAGTAAGGATTCTAGGGTGACGTCTAGGTTTTGGTGAGGAGTGACAGAGATAACATGGATGAGGAAAAAGAGAAGTCACAATTTTAAGGACCCAGATTCTAAAGACCTGCCAGTGGATGCTCACAAGCCAGGCTTTCCAGGGCTCCTTTAGGTATAGGAAGGAAGCTGTAAGAGTCTTCAGAGGTGATAAATTTATGAAAATAGAACTTTGTCTGACTAATCATTCTTGAACAATTCAAATTGACATCAGACTATATATTATTGCATAGGAGATATGTCACTTCCCAATACAATTATCCTTCCCATTACTCTTTCTTTAAATTATATCCACCTACTATGGGCTTCTCTGAAGATTATAGCATTCTTTTGCTAATGATTGACCAGTGAGCCTAATGAGTAAACCATATGCTTTTATTTATAAAAACATTATAGATTATGACTTCAAAAAAAGAGAAAAAAAATCTCACAAAAGGCATCGAATCCAACTTTGTCTATAATTTCACACACGGGGCACTAGGGCAAATGTCTCACTAAAAATAATTTGAAGTTGGCAAAAGACAAAGCAGCCCTCCCTTTTAATAGTTACCTCTTAATTTAATTAGTTTAAAATGCTGCATCAAAGCACCACAGCCTAAGTGGGTTATAAACAATAGAATTTTCCTCTCTCTGTTCTTAAAGCCAGAAGTCGGAGTGCAGGAGACCAGCCCATTTGGGTTCTGAGGAGACCCTTTCAGGAGCTGGAAATCACTGGCCTCTGAGTCCTTACATGACAGAGAAAGAGGAAGCAAGGTCTCTCAGGGCTCTTACAAGAACACTAATCTCATTTATGAAGATGGTGCCCTAATCACCTCAGCCATCTCTAATTAAGTCCCTGACCCCACTTCCTAATCAAGTTACAGTGTGGAGTAGGGTTATAACATGGGAACTTAGAAGGCAAATATCAGCCTGTAACATATCTGAGCAAGAGGGAAAGTAAGAAGTCCTAAAAGGCCACAACTTCAGAGAGGACTAGAAGCCTTACTGAAGTATCTATCACTTGAACTCTTCATCCAGTAACTGAAGTCAGACTCTGAGAACCAGGGTCATGCTGTAGAGAATAAACAAAGCAAAGGATGCAACAACATAACCTCGTAGGAGGCTCCCACTTGATGTGGGACTTCAAAGGATTCCAAGTTTTGTGTGCTAGAAAGGCAGGAATGTAATTATACATGGGTGGAGAAAGGAAGAAGTGTCTACATTAACATTAGTCTGAGGCAGACACGGAAAAACAACTTCTCTGAGAATTTGCAAAGCAAAGCAAGCTCATATATGTGTTGCACCCACTTCATCTAACTTTGAAGCCACAGACCCTCAGGACCATTTTTCTTAATGCAGTATCCATATCACTGATATGTACTAATGGAAACACCTTCTCTAAGCAATCCCCCTTCAAACCAAACCTCAGATGGCTTCAGTAATTCAACAGATGAAATAATAAAAATAACCCAGAAAACAGAAAGAAAATTTACACTGTAAACCAAACACCACATTGAATAAGAATGTACAGAATCAATATACATTGTGTCACACACAGAAAGTATGAACAAAATTTCCTAAATAACGAGCTTATTTATCTTTTAAGGAAACCATTGAGAAAGTAAAGAGAAAAACTATGATCTCTTAGAGAATAATTTCACTTGGCTTCAAAAAGCGTTTATTCCAAGAATATATAAAAATGTAATTTTCTGAGTATTTATAAAGTCAAATAAGTATTTTTGATTAGTATAAAACAGTAATACATTTAGATATATTATCCATATGTGACACTTTTTAGTATATTTGATGAACCTTATATTTACTCTTTTGCCTAAACTATTTTGTCTAATTTAGTAACAGTTCTACTTTGATGGCTAAACATTGCAGTCTTATTTTTGGAAGGCCTTTTAATCTGTTTCATTTTTTTATATATGCCATATATTTTTATGAAACTCCCCACATAGATATTTCAAATGAGAATTTATATTTTCATATATTCTTT